TTGATTTAGTATATAAGTATTATACGTTGGGTTATTATTCTAGATTCTGAGTCATTTTTTTTGCTTGTATTAATGTAATATAAATAACATGCCTGATAGATTTAAAGACCGATACCCTTGAATACAGGTTAACTCTTAACAATACTATAGCAAGGGACAAGGCCGCTCGGGTATAGGCAGGAGTAAGGTTCACTGGTGTTATTGGCGAGCCCGAATTATTTAATATATATGACATGGACATATATAGATAAATGAGTTATGATGATATATTTTAAAATTTTAATTATTTGAATGTTATATTATTGAAGTATCTGGAGCATTTTGTTTTTATATATATTTTTTTATCTATGTTATTGAGACCATCTATGATCATGAAATGAGAGAATTTGTTATATTTAATCACTGTGATTCTTTATATGTTTTTTTAAAAAAGACAAAATTTTAGGTATAGTTTTCCTGTTAAAATTAAAATATCTCTTACTCTCTAAAATCACTAACTAAATTAAATATTATATTAATAAACTAAATAACAAATCTCATAAAAATCGTTTTATGTTAGTTTTAGATGTTAAGAAATTTATTGCGAGAATTTTTATAAAATGACTATTGGAATTTAATTCATGTTGCACTTTAAAACAATAATATTTAATTAATAACACTGCTAAAAAAAATGAAATATCAGATAAATATGAGGATTTTAAACAGTAGAATATTCTATTTCACAAAAACACTTTCAAGAGGCTTTGTTAATTCAGAATCTCTTTTTAATTTGGATGCTTAATGCCGAATTTGTCCTTTGTTTTTGTTTTTTGAAAAGAAAGAAAGCTGACGACAGTAGAGCGCTCCTCCTCCCTACTTTTGCCCCCCCACCCCCCTCCCCCTCTTTGCAGCGCGCGAGATTTGGGGGGGTATAAATTATTAACTGCTAAGCCCCTGTGGTCTGCTGCTTCCTATCTCTGTGTATGTGTGTTTTTTTACATAAGTAAGGGACGCAGAGGAAGTGGTGGTGGTCATAGCCGCCAGCTATACCTCGTTTCGGAGGCAAGACACAGAGGCCATTTATTTCCTGTATCTGTAAATTTATCTCCAGTCTCTTCTCTGGGTGGTCTATGTGTACTCCACACGTGGTTGTCCTGCAATAGGTCATCACAAACAGTACAAGTTTGGTCAGATTGGATCAGAGACTCTTTTCACTGTTTACCGTTGAAATTTCGTACTCTTCACTAACAGTCTACTGCGAACATGTTTTCTCCCTCGCAGCACCGCTCTTTTGCACAGCAGTGCCTTACCATATGGAACACATGAGGTCATTACTTTTATGAATACTTAATTCCTTGGTACCTGGAAAGGTTTTGGATGGATTATGTACATCCTCTTGTTTGAAAGATGTGCCTGTTTCTTCGTGACTTCAAGCTGTCTTTACCAAGAAATGCATCCTTAGGAAACGTACTTATTTTTAGTTTTAAAGAAACGCAAGGTTGGATGTATTCTGTTGTGTGAGAGTACGCCCAAGGACCTGTGAAATGGGAGATGGAGATGCATTCGATTAAGAAAAAATGAGCTTACAAATATCACCCCTTAATTATTAATTATGCTCTGAAAACTTCTCAAATTTTAGCACAGATGGTGCAATCTTTGACTGAAAAGGACGATTGGAATTAGTTTTTGTATAATTTTTTTTTACCCAGTGATATATTTAATTGTAAGAGAAAATATTCTCCCCTCCCTCTGGTTTTTTTTTCCTGTCCAGCTTCACTTCATCATGTAATTAAACTCATGAATTAAATAAATAATAGGCAGTTAGTTGGAAATTAATTTTTAAAATTACGTCGGCATTCTCTAATTTTCACGTGGTGACCTCTTAATAGTCTTGATATTCTAACACTTTTAAAGTCCTGAATAAGTTGGTATTTATATTCATAGGGAGATTTGAAGCTCAAACTATCACAATTTAATTTTAATTAACTAGTTAAATAATAATTTTAAACACTAATCATTTTGTTTATCACGTATTTGGCTAGAATTTGAACCAGAACTTGATACATCATTTACCAACACGTCATCTATTCGATCAATAAAAAGTACGCGCGGCGTCATTTTAAAAAAAAAAAAAACTAAAGAAAACTAGGTACGCATTCCTGACATTCCCAACCCCATACATTCCCAGGATTTTTCTCCTAGCCAAACGCTAGAACACACATTTGACTTTTTTTTTTTTTTGTTAAATAGTCCTTAATATCCCCTTTCTTTTTTAATTTCAGAAAAAAATTTCTTTTCATAAATTTATTAAAATCTTATTTAAATAATTATCCACTTATAATATAGATTTCAAGAATAATAGAGTTTTTTTATTGTAATAATATAAATTACTTTATGAAAAAACACGTAATAACTAATATGCAAATTATTTTTTATATCTTTTCTTGTTGATATTAAAATAAAAAAATTTATTTATTTTATTTTAAATATTATATATATTTTTATCATATTCATTATTCTTATAATATTTCTATAGAATGATGGAGTTATGATTTATATTTGTTTTTATAATATTTCCCATACACGTGTATAGAACGTGTATAGAATGATGGAGTTATGATTTATATTTTATTTTTTTATTGAAACTTACCTTTACAATTATAGTAAGTTTTTATTCTAAAAACAATGCTTTTGAAAAAAAATACATGACTAATAAAAATGAGTTTTTAATTAACAATATAATTTTTCCTTTTTATTTGAAACTATTAGAATCTTTAAAATTCCCTTTTAAATCATCATTGCTTTTCATTAAATAAATCATGCTACCACTAATTTTTTTTTATCAAAATAAAGAGAATTACTCAAATAAGAAAGGTTTTATTAAAAAACTATGTGCTTTAATAATTTTATTTTTTTAAAAGTACATATTTAGTGGGTGTATAATTAAATAAAAAGTAGATTTAAAAAAACTGCCCCGTAACCCTGTACGATCATTATAACTAGTTTGAAACTAGTTGAAAAGGTGTATATATATATACATGAAGCATGAAGTTCAAACAAAGTACAAATAATTCAGGGGGGACAATTGCCTCTATTCTTTATTCATCTAGGCTCATAGTCACTCCCCCCCCTGCCATCATTCCATTGTCAAGGATTTATTGCAAGAGTGGATTAATTACTTGTCTTTACATAAATGTGGTCAAGATGGTTACAATGATATTAAAAAGATATTTAATATAAATTTACGAAGACTAATATAAAAATATCATAACTGTTAAAATTGATTCAAAAGAAGAACGTTGAATTTTCTTTCTGTCTATTTTTATTTATTTATTTGAAAGTTGTTAAAATACCAACATCAGTAAATAACATAAATTATCATTCCACTTATATTATATTTTTCAACGCATCCCTGAAATTATTACTGGTGTTAAGATATAAAAAAGATCATCCCGAGTGCATTTGTTCAAGGCCATGAATTGCCATCGAATAGGCAAGTGACACATCCCGATTCCCATGATCAATAACAGTTAGCGACTTGAAATTTTGGCTTTTTCAAAAAAAAAAACACCGACACATTTTTTTTAATAAATAAAATAGCTAGCACATCCACTGTAGCTGTTCATGTAGGAGGTATGGTAAAATATTATTTATTTAAAAAAATTAAAAAAATTTTATTTATAAAATTTATTTTTAATATCATCAGCATATTAAAATCATTCAGGAGTTTATAATATATTTATTATATAAAATTAATTATTTTTAAATCATATAAAGATACAATTTAATTTTTACTTTATATTATTTTGTTCTCATAGTTTTAGATATTTATATTTTAAATTTAAATTTCATTTTTATTATATATTGGTTTTAAATATCAAGCGAGGAGAAATAAGGTAGTTGAAAAAGGGAGATAAGAGATTTCATCCGGCCACTTTTTGAGCATGAGAAGGTTGAACTTCATATCATCAATTTCGTCTTAGCAAGAAAAGTTCAATATTAGTGATTTTATCCTTTAAAATTTACAACTAAAAAGATCATGGCTTATAATTTTTTTTTCAGTTTGAATTTTTATTTTTAGATTGATTAAATAATATTTTAGGTTTGAAATGAGATTATTCAGATTTTTATGATGCTTTTTAGATTTTTCTTGTTGCAATTCAGTTGGGATTTTGGGTCTGGGATCCAAATGATCCAAACCTATTTCTTTTTAGCTATCTTTTTATATATATTTTTTAAAAATTAAGATAATATTTTGCTTGTTTAAGTTTTTTTTTAAAAAATACACACAAATCTGGCCTTTTCCCCTTTTAATCTCATGAATAGTCACTGAGAAAAAAGTGCACATTTTTTTTGTGAAGTTTTTATACAATTTTGTCAAAATAATTATTCCTTTATTTCACATCAATAGAATATAAATTATCAAAGCATGCTTTTTTTTTTATTATTTCAACTTGCTTTTCAAATCATGATAAGCTTTTATTATATATATAATCAGTAGGTAATGTTTTATATCGATTGATTGCAGAAAAATAATTTGGTTCACACAATTGTATCTTGATAGTTTCTTAAAAACATTCTCTACTGAAACATGCAATTCCCAACTTTTTTTTATGAAAATAGTTTATATATCATATATGATGATGGAGTTTTTATATAAATTAAATAAATCTGCTGACAAGCCTAAATATTTTTTTAAAATACAAAAAATTTAAATTAAATAGTATTATCTGTTCACTGAAATAGAAATTCAAAACCCAACGAGGGCAATTAATATAGCTCTGGTCGATGCTTATTAATTACATGCATTTTTATCCTTGCCCTCTCCATTTGTAGAGAGTAAAAAGGAAAAAGAATAGTTTGGCGAGGGCAAAATCCAAAAAAGGAACACTCAAACAGGGGAAGACGAAAACGTCCGTGAATAACAATAATAATAAATAAAACGTCCGTGAATATCAATCTATACAATCTCCTTGCCAAATCACCTGGCCTTTCTTGCCTTTATATTTTTCAATATTTCTTTTTTCTATCACCAAAAAAGTCTTGTCACCCACCCAAGAAACGCAGCCCCTAGCCGATTCCGGTTTAAAAGCTACATCCTGACCTCAACCTTCTCCTCTACTCCATGTGCGACCACTTCTTTCTATTTTTGCTCCTCTGATTTGCCATTTTTTTTCCTTTTCATCTCGACATGTCGAAGTCTAGGTGCAAATTCACTTCAAGACCCTCTCTAACACACCAGAATACAATTTCCTTGCCCAGGATATGACTCTCAGCCCATATAATTAGACAAAACATCAAAAACTTGTAGATTTTCTTTGGCTCTAGATGATTGGGTGTCTCCACCTCCTAGTGTTTATTCGTGTTTATAGCTGTTGCTTTAGGGTTTTAGGCTTTACTTGATTTCTGGAGTGGTCATTTTCATATCCGTTTCCACAACTGGGTTTGTCGAGAGAGATGGAGGACTACAATCAAATGAGTGAAAACACGACTCCGAGGGGAAATTTCTTGTATGCTTCACAACTTCTTGCACCTAATTCCTCGCCTTATGGGAGGACCAGTAGTGGCTCTACAGTGAGCAATCAGCAGACCCAGATGCCTTTAAATCCTTTCCATCTTCAATCAAATGATCAGTGCTTCCAATCTGATACACATCCTATAGTGAAAACTGAAGCCAGCACTTCACATGCTCAAAAATTTCACTACCCTCTATTGAGAGGGTACCAAACAATTAACCAGCAGCAACAAGGAAGTGAAAGCTCCAGTGAAGTTGAAGCCATCAAAGCCAAGATCATAGCCCATTCTCAGTACTCTAACCTCCTAGAAGCTTACATGGACTGCCAAAAGGTAAGTACATGTATAGAAGAAGAAACGAAAGTCATTTCATCAAATTAAATTCATTTCAGTAGTAGCAATGGTTTCTCTCCACTTATCTCTCTTGCTGCTACACTGTATATGCATTTAGGTAGGAGCTCCGCCTGAAGTAGTAGCTCGGCTTGCAGCTGCTCGTCAAGAGTTTGAATCAAGACAACGATCTTTTATCACTTCAAGGGACAATTCGAAAGACCCAGAACTAGATCAGTTCATGGTGATTGATTGATTTTGTTCTTCCGCCTCTAGTCTTGCTGGAAGTCTCTTTATCTAGCTAATTATAGGCCCTCTCTCTCTCTATCTCCCTCTCTCTCTCCACACACACACACACTAAGGTGTTATTTTATTTGGTTTTTGAGTTAAATACTTGTCTGTATTGTTTGAATTGAAAAACAGGAAGCTTATTACGACATGCTAGTGAAGTACCGTGAGGAGCTTACAAGACCTATACAAGAAGCCATGGATTTCATGCGAAGAATCGAAACTCAGCTTAATATGATCTGCCATGGTCCCTTGAGAATCTTCAATTCTGGTAACCTCCTCTCTCTACTATGCACGCCTGTAATGATCTCAAGTGAGAATTATCCCTTTCAAAAAAAAATATTATATCCTATCATGGAAAGGAACGGACGAATCCACTAAGTTTCATTGTTGCAGAGATGGGTTTGATTTGGTTTTGCTTGCTACACTACAGAAACCGATAGTCTTGTTGCCCATTACTTGATAGGGGAGCAGAAAGTAAAATTCCTAGACCAAACTATATGCCATGATCTACTCCTTTCATGAGGCAACATTTCCTATCCCTAATGAAGCGTACCCTGACCAGGATTGCGCCTTCCAATAATGATATTATGGTCACCGTGTACGAGTAACCTAACAGCCACTAGTACTAGATTAGCAAACCCTAATCACGAGTCTATAGTAATGGGATTTGGATTTTCTTTGTATCTTACATATAATAGTACCAGTATCTTCCTAAATCTCCAAGAAAGCTACCAAGGCAAAACGCACTACATAGTTCTGAACAATGATATATTACACGTTTGCTTCTCTTATAGGCTGGCTTTCTAGGGGTCTGTGATGTCTGACAAAGTCATCCTTTAAAATTTAGGGTTTTCTTACCAAAATCTAGACTTGATTACTTCTATTAAGTCTGTTTCTACAGGAGTCAATTTATTTTTTGGGATATACTATAACAAGACCTCGAGATAGATTTGCAGAATTGTTTCTGTCATTTCCAAGTTGTTCTTTGCTTTTCTGTAAAAGAATAGTATTTGATTTTGTTTTGTAAATTGAAGAACCTAGGATGCTGTTCCAATCAGTGCTACCCCATGTAGCCTGTACGGCCATGTCGGAATAAGTTTTTACTTATTTTATTCAATTTTTCATATATAATACTTCTGCATGTCTCGTCTTTTCTTGTTTTTATTTTTTTTCTTTTTAATTATTTTGCTCACACCTTTCTTTAGTTTTTTAAACAGATGATTTAATTAATAATCGTTCCAAATATATCTTGAACTCAACTTTCTATCAAAAGTATGATATTGTCCTTGTAAAAAAACGAAGTATAATATTATTGGTTTTTTCACCAATGAATAGATCCAATGATTTTGTCAATTTGCAAATAATTATAACGAAGACATTGAAAATAATTGCATTTTACCTGGAAAACAATCTGCAAACAGAAAAGCGAATGTATTAATCGGAAAATTTATTCAGCATATAAAACCATAACGGAGCAACAGATTAATTTGTAGATTTGAAGATCCTTTCATCAAATTTATTTTGTTTTCACTCAACAGTGTTTGTTGGCTAAAACCACTTTCTGGGGGGTGAATGCTTCAGATAACTTTCTTGTTCGAAAAGATCGATAGAGACGATGAAGGAAAGAAATAGTCATTTCTATCATTCCTCACTTGTGGTTTATGGTCTGTCCATTATGAACATATCAATCCTTTTTTGTCTTCTTCCTGATCACTTTTTAAAATGATCCATCCCTTCTAATTTTGAACTGACCCTTAGGCCCCCCATCCCATCTAATTAGTTCCCCCATCCCATCTAATTAGTTCGGGAATGGTTCCTGTGTTGTTAGGGAGTAAACATTTTCGTACACATTTCGTGATGGTCTAATATCCTGTTTATATCCTTTCTTTTTTTGGACTTACTGTATGGTAGGAGATAGACAGCTATAAGTGTTGCTTTGATGACTTAATTTAATACCACATTTAATTCCTTGTGCTCCTGTTTTAAACTGAATGGTATTGCGAGTCTCGTTGCTTTGAACTGATGGATTTATTTTGTAGTTTTGCAATCCACTACTCCCTCTCCCTGGTTGCTCAAACATCTTGTTTTTACGAATTTCAAGCTGGTGTTATTGAATGTGGATTGAAAAATATCGAAGCTAATCAATTTTTAACTCGGTGTCACAATATTTCTGTCGAATCTTGACTACAAAAGGAGACAAGATGGTTCGTTCTGTGTGTTTATGTTTGCCATGGGAATTGATAGCTATTTGCTTTGGATTTCAATTTATTACGAGAAGTCACAGCGTACATTGTTGGAACTAAAAGCGATTAACTTTTTCTTGCTCTTCTACCTCATTTCTTTATAAAACTCGTAGTGACTTGCGAATTCTTTTCATTGGTATGATCAGCTTCTCATGGAAATGAGCAAACTAACCATAATTGAGAGAAATCTAATTATAATTATAGCTAGATACAAGGTAAAGCAACTTCAAATGGTACTGCATTTCATTAGCTTAGTTCATGAGTAATGTAATAGAATTCAGCGTTCTTTCGCTGCATATTTTTCTTTTGTTGACATTGATGTTCTCTCTTTTTGATAGCAATCGAGATGATATATTAAAGAGCTAGAGATTGACAAACTAGTAAAAATTAAGAGTCCGTCTTTTTTTCTTGGGGTGGAAAAGTAGGTTTCCATTAATTGCTTATATAATTGTTTCACACTAAAGCAAAGGAGAGCGCGTTATTCATTTTTGTCTTTCTCGAGCTTCTCTGCGTAACTATCCTTATTGACAGCCTGAGTTCTAACTTTGTATTCTTTTTTGTTCCGGGTGGTGCGATCCCCTCAATTCTTCTTTTGTTAGCAGGATTTTCAGAATCGTCTCTTACAGTAGGAAAAGAACATTCCCTTGCAAAAAAACCCTAGGAAGGGTATTGAACTTTTGAATATGTCCACCTCATTTGATCTGATATATAGCTTTCAACTATATGTACTTCATATTGCTTTCTGGTAGCGAATAATTGTCCAATGTAATTGTTAGTTTCTCCATGTTTTATGCTCTTTTACCCTTGGCTCTTTGGTTATCTAACTATTGATATACTGGTGGTTTTTCTCTACTGTGAGTCTAGTTGCTATTAGATAACATGTGTCAGGATCATGGTCATTGTCTTTTTTTCTACTTTTAACGTATGTGAACCACGAGATCTATGAAATTTGCGAAAGAAGAGTGAGCGCAAGATCTCTGCACTGCTTGTGATTAGAATCATCTTCATCAAAAGCTCAACCACTATTGTTTAATTGTATGGTTCAATGTGTCACTATCTTCAAATTTCGTCCTTGTGATTTTTGTTGCAAGTCAATCTATTTACCTTTGTACTTTCCAGATACTCAGATCTAGATCTTTTTTTCTGCTTATGGCCTGTTTTCGTTGAAAAAACCAGCGTTCGTTTTGTATTTGCTAGTGTTGCGTGTGGGTGTGCGATGCTTCAGATTACTGGCTTAGAACCTCTCCATATGCAACTAGCAAAATGCTTGGTCTTTTTATTTATCACCATTCCCATCTTGTGTTAAGTGTGGATTGCTAGTTAAAATGCATATAGATATTTATTGTTCGGTGAATTTGAATCATGGTATTAATTAAACATGATTCTAGTGTTCAAGTTCCTCTGATGCAAGATTATTGATTGCATTTTTACATCTTCCCCCATGTCATCCCTGGGCTCCAGACTGGTGGGATGGGAATGAAGCATGTTGTCGAAAGGAATGTTGAATTTAACATGATTGCAGCCGGAAAGGATAGTGTATTCTATTTAAACAAAAGTCAGTCAAGAAAGAAATGCATTTCCAATTTTCAAACTACAAGCTGTGAGGGATCAATACAGGTTGTATTGTTTGTGGCCAGGGTTCTCTCTCCTTATTTTAGTGGAGACATTTCTAAGTGTTGAAGAAATCTCATTTAGGACCCTCGCATGTATAAGAGGAAAAAATCGAAGTCAATATGGGGGTAATTAGTGGTGTAAATTATCAAGAAATCATCCTGTCTTTTCATAGATGGATGTTCGCGCTGGATCAAAATCCCAGGAACTTCGCATTAGGATTGTGCATGCTTTATTATCTGTCTGCATTTTCATTTTATGCTCGGCTACGTACTTTCTGTCCTATTTTTGTTCTGGTCCAACGAAGTGTCATTTTATATGAGTTTTTTGTTTATCAAATGCACAGATGACAAGTCTGAGGGTGTCGGCTCATCAGAAGATGATCAAGACAACAGTGGAGGGGAGACTGAACTACCTGAGATCGATCCCCGTGCTGAAGACCGAGAGCTAAAGAATCACCTATTGAGGAAGTATAGTGGTTATTTAGGCAGTCTCAAGCAAGAACTATCTAAGAAGAAGAAGAAGGGGAAGCTGCCCAAAGAAGCCAGGCAGAAGCTACTCAGTTGGTGGGAGCTACACTACAAATGGCCATATCCTTCAGTGAGTGGATACTTGTCATAACTCGTTTTCCTCGACCAATATCTTGAAAGATCTACCATGACATCTAGATTAGTGCTATGATAAACTTCACATAACTGTACGAGCACATGGTTTTTTCATGAGATATATTAATTCATATTTGTGATGGCTATCAGGAGACGGAGAAGGTGGCATTAGCTGAAACAACTGGTTTGGATCAGAAACAAATTAATAATTGGTTCATTAATCAAAGGAAGCGACATTGGAAACCATCTGAAGATATGCAATTCATGGTGATGGATGGCCTTCATCCTCAGAATGCAGCTCTCTATATGGATGGCCACTACATGGGTGATGGTCATTATCGGCTGGGTCCATGAGTGTCAAGCTTCATGCTTTATTCTTAATGGTAGTTTTCATTTAAGGCCTAGCGTGGAACCAGTTATTCATGCCTTGTGGAATTAATAGCGAAACTTAGGTTATGTCCTTGGAAACTAAAACTATACTGCTCGTTTCCTCACGAGAAATATCATAACTATGGTCTTGTGTAGCTTGCCTGGATGTAGCTGTGATCATTGAGATCGATGGCCGTTGTTATTGTGTCGGTTACATTGCTGTGGAGCATCCTCATTGGTGTTCTTAAACTCTGGAATCTTTAGAAGACGTTGAGTTCTTGCGTGTAACTTGGCTGACCATGCGTCAGTCCAAGAGTATGTAATGAGGGAAATAAGTAGGGGATAGGTTGTGGCGACTTTCAGAATGTGTCCCATAATAGCGTACTGTAAGGACTATTTACAGCTGTCAAGTGTATAATATAGTCAGAAGCAGTGAATGTGATGAGGGTGCCATCTCCTAGCTTTCCTGTTTTCTTAGTAGGTTGCTTAGCCAGTGTGAAGCATCCAAATGGCGCAATTTTTACGGACTGTTATAGTTTAAATTGATCCATCAACTTTACTATCTTATAAATATATGTTGTTATTGCTTGGCAACTGATAGTTCGAGTTTCTGTCTGTTGTCCAGCTATTCTTGATGGGATGTGATTCTCGTGGTGGTTGTCGTGGAAAGTTGGTGTATCGATTTGATCATTATATTTATCGTTCTTTTTCTACTTAATTTACAATATAATTACCCACCATCTCATAATTAGGTCAATGATTAAGGCAGGGTTTCAATGTCTACGTTTATCCCTACGCTGTTGATCGTAGCGGTGCGCAAGAAAACTGATTGATTAAACTGTAAAAACCACGAACAAGATAAACCGAGAAAAAAAACTGAAAATTCATAGAACTTATTGGATCTGGTTAAGTTTGGTATTAGAAATTGAAACCAGATAACAAGATCGGACCAGTGTAACTTAAACCCACTTTAAAAAAACCAGGGGTATAAAGAGAACTAACATAACCTGTGTACCTTAACCTTCAAAATTCTCTCCCTTTCCCACTGAAAACAGCCGCCAGCCGTTCCTTCTCTCTCTGGCCTTTACAGATTACCTTCTCCGTCATCTCCCCGTCTTCCACTGCCTTCTCTCTCTCGTTATCTTCTTTTCATCGAAGATCCATTCTAATCCATTGGCGCCATTGCATGTGATTTACTACACCACACCATATCCTGCTACAATCATCAAACAGGTTTGGAAAACAATGCCTTTCTTCTCTTTGGTTTTTGTTATTTTGTTATGCATTTAGGTATATATTCAACTGAATTTTTAAGTTTTTGTTTCTACTTCCAACCTTTTATCCTATCACTTGACGTGTAACCCATGTTAAATTTTTTCTTCTTTTGATGGGTTCATGTATTTTTTGTGTTGGCAAAGCTTGTATTTTTTTCGAGGCTTTTATGAAATCGTAGGCAAACTTTATGTAAATACTTGGTATGTTGCTGAAATATTTTGGAGATAATAAATTTTTTAATATATATATATATATATGTGCTATATTCCTGAACTTCGTCGAGCATTACTTTCAAATGACCGATTCAACTTGATCATGAAGGAAAGTATATCAGTCAGGGACTTTAATGTAATTTTCATGTTTGTAATTAAGCTTATACTTTACTTTATATAAGCTTATATGGTCATGAGCAGAAGCAGTGCCGTTCCTCGTTGAATTTGACTAATTTATCTGCTTGATATCTTCTATGGTTTCCAGGGCATATAAATTTGAGCAGGAGTAGTGCTGTTGCTGGATTTTGTGGGCGCTGATGTTCCTGGAATTTGCACATCCTAAATAATATGGATGTTTCGGTTAAATTTATGCTAATTTGGATATAGAGATAGTGATTTGTCTGGAGTTTGAAATATGTAATAAGTAATTTGTTATTTATAAATTTCTAGTGTGAATATTCAACACCTCACACTAAATAGTTTAGACTAACGACAAGACCATCAACTAAATATATTAAATGAATTTGCACCAACCTTCAATTTAGTAATGACAAGTCTGTTACAATGTGATAAGCAAATAAACTTGCAATTTTAGCTTAAAAAAGCTATAAAAAAAATAAACTCAAGAAGAAATTGTTGAAGTTCAATTTAATACAGATCCATTTTAAAAAATAATAATAATTAAAAAGCCCAGCTCATTGAAGAGGGATTAAATTTCCTGGTTTTAACTAAAAAAACGACTTTGACCAAAATCAATTCAATTTAAACTGATTTTCAGTTTAGTTTGGTTTATTTTTTTTAAGAAATTGCTTCTACCGATTCCGTTAAAATCTAGGGTCGTACTATAAATATTGTGGTTGATTAAATAGTTGAAAGCTTACAGACAAGAATCAAGTACAAGAATTTGTGTCGCTCAAAGTTAAAACGCTCTCAAAACAAAAAGTTCATCAATAGACCTCGGCAAGATCCGTGTCGCTAATGTACCTGATCATTCGTGCTCGAACAATGGTAGAAATACAAGACCCAATTTTTGCGTTGCTGTGACTTATGACGAGCTCTAAAATCAAGGATATGTCTATGAGGTGGCTCTGAAGATCGCTGACTAGCAGAGAGGGGAGAGGATAAAACCCTAACCATGCGGATTTAACAACAATTAGAGAAATTAATTAAAAGAGAGCTTACGAGGAGAAACTTCGGTAGAATATGGTGACCAAGGAGGCCATATGGTAGCGTTTTGTTATCATTATGGGATATAAATGATAGAGATAATAGAAATAGAAGATACAAGATAAAGAAATAAAAACAGAATTATATTTAATAATGATGTATAATATAAAATAATTATTTTTATACTATATCCGGTTATAGTGAACAAGATATGATAAAATATGAAAAAAATCCATTTTATTCTTAATATGTATTATTAATAAACTTATATATATTTTTTACTTTAATTTATATTAAGTATTGAAATTTATAATATTATAGTAACCTTAGTTGTAAAAACAAAATTAACTTGATGGGTTGATCCGAAACCTGGATAATTCCAAGTTTAAAAAACAAATAAAAGAAGGATTGATTTGACCTGATTTGATCAAAAACCTGGATTGTAACCCAATATAAAACATGAGTAAAACAATTGTGAACTCTTTGAAGAAACAATTTGGTCAAAATAAGGTCTATTTGATTTATTTTTTTTGTTAGTCAAGTTGACCTTCTCGATTTGTGATTATATTCATTATTTGAACCTTGCCTTGGGTTAACATTCAATTCGGCTTTTAAAAAAATGATAATAACTATTTTTATTTATATGTTGACCCTTACAATGTCTTGTGATCCAGGCCTTGCCCTGTTCAATCCCTAATTTGGATTTTAGAATTATGATAATAATAATTTTTATAATTATATTGACTCAAGTTGACTCTTTTAATTTGTAAATCAGATCTTGTCTCAAGTTAACTCTCGAAACAAATTTAAAAATTGTGATAAAAATCATTTTTATTTTATGTAGACTCAGGTCAATTCAGGTTGATTTTTCTCATATGTGACTCAGGCTTTGCCCCAAGTTAACTCTTAAGTAAGGTTTCAAAAATTTGATAATAACTGCTTTTGTTTTTATATTGACCCGAGTCAGCAATCAATTCTATTTATGACTTGTGCTTTGCCCTGAGTCGACCCTCAAATCAAGTTTTAAAACTATAATAATTATTATTTTTATTTTTATGATGACTCGGGTTAGACCAACCTATGCCCCGACTTTACCCAAAAAATTAACTATTAAATTAAATTTTAAAACTATAATAGTAATTATTTTTATACTTAAATGTCTTAGCTGGATAATTTTGAAGTTAAGAGTTTTTTGCAAAGATATTTTAGGAATAAAAACTAATAAATATTGTCTCTAGAAATATATACTCTTTATACCTCTTGTTTTAAAAATAAAAAAAATTATTCTAAAATTATCTTAAAAAACAATTATTTTTACATTTCTTTGTCTTCAACTAATTATATATTTATTTATTTATTATCTTTTTTATTCCAGATCAGTAAACAAACACTACAGATAAGAGCTGTCATGGGTTCAGCAAGGTTTCTGTAGCAGCCCTTATTTTGAGAATTAGTCGCACTCCATATTTGTAAACCCATGGCATGCCGTAGATGCGGGGCTTCAGAATATGTAAGCACGGGCCAGGCTGGTGGAAGCATTTTGTGCTGGCCTAACTGCTTTTCCGATATGGGTTTCTGGGGTCCGGCATCTCTTGGCGGGCCAATATCAAATGATTTCTGAACGATACAGAAAATGGATTTAGTCGAATGCCATCCTGGGCATATACTGGCGATCAATGCTTCAATCAAATAACCCCGAACAATCAATTGGTTTTCGAATAAAAAATATGTGTCGTGCAAAAACCAAGTAATAACATAAAATAAAATAAAAATAAAAATAAAAGAAGCACGAAAATTTGATATAGTTCGGCAAAGCATATTTTACAAGAATTCATTGTTAACTATCAGGTTTTATAACAATTAATCAAGCACATGCACAAACCCTAATACATTCAAACAAAACTCTATTAAAAAAAATATCTACTTTAATTCTCCTAAGGTAGCGACCTGAAAATACATAAAATCTTCAGTTATTTTTAAAATAAAAAAACAAACAAGCGTTTAAACCATTGACAAGCGTGGCTGCTGCAAAACCATTACCCTCCCCATTCAAAGCCTTACTATATATCTAGAAAAACTATTTTTCAAAAAAATACCCGCAGTAATTCTGTTGAGAGATGAATCCATAAACAAGTGCCTGCAGCAAAATTATAACCACGCTTCCCCTTCAACTGCCACAACAAAACATCAAATTATGTATATAGCACCTAATGGTCGGTAGATTCTAAAGTGAACAAGAACAGGGAATTTTCCTTGCATATTTGAATAGGAAAGGAAATTGAATTTATGCCGGTTAATCTGAACTTATATCGTTGTTAATAAAAGAAAAAGTTTATCTTTATATATATATATTGTTTTTTTTTTGTTTTGAGCAAATAATCAAATACTATTTTAATCATATCGTTATTTAATTTATTTATTTTTCAGAAATTTGAAAATAAAATATGGATCTTAATAATGCGGGTCAAAGTATATGGGTAAATAAAATAGTGTTCTTGGCCCTTTTTTTTTTTTAATATAAATAAACCTCTAAATCGAATAGAGATAAATCTTTGTGCAAGAAAACTAACCGGAGATTATTTGATCTTTAATACGAACAAAACGGGTTAAAAAACACTAATATTGGCCCTCTAGAAATCCTCTTTGCCTTTGATCTTCCTTATGGGAACAATAGTAAGATTATCGTCTTTATTTTCTAGATGGGGACCAAGTGAGATTATCAACGTTGTTATTCACTAGACTGGCTGATTAACCCAATCCTCTGCTGCTTGATTCCTCTGAGATGAGA